TCTGGGTAGTTGTGGTGATTAAATTGGATAAGGGGATTTGTGGCTGTTTATACCATAGTTGTGGGGCTCCTGAGAGTAGGAGCTCTCGTGTGGCTGGAGTATAGTGACTGAGACACAGAACATCATGATATGAGACCGGAGAGGTAGGCAGGGCATGAGTGTTAGCAAGTGTCGAGTTATGATAGAACTTGGACTTGTTCCTCACAGTAATGATAAGCCACTGAATGCTTATCACAGAGACATTCAAGTTCAGTTTCATGCAAGATTACTGTGAGCATTGGCAGAAGGTGGTCGGTTAGTATCACAGAAAAGGCAGAGAATCTAGCCGGAAAGTTTGTTCTAATTAGCCAAGTTATGCTGATGGCTTTGACTAGAACACTAGAAAAAAGAAAGAAAGAAAGAAATAGATAAAAACCAGAAGAGCTAGATCAGTTGAATGGTTTCTTTCTCAGATGTGTCCCACTGAAGAATTTGTCTCTAGATATTTGTGCTAACACAAACTAAAACCAAAAGTGAAACATCATATCAGTTAAAAAGAAGTGATCTGATACAGGCAGTGCAAGGAAACTTACTACTTACCAAGAAATTGTTCTTATACATGCAGTAAAAGGAAGATGAAAGCGCTGTTTTCAAGTAGTTATTGTATCACATAACTTAGGCCAAAAACAAGCCCATGATACCATGATGAACTCTTTTCATGGTCTTATACTTACCTTTAGGTTTGTTCTTATAAGACTGATGTTTTGGTTTTGTATGTAGAGAGGTGAGAGGAAACAGAAGCTGAGATGTTTTTTTCTTGGTTCCGGGAATTGAACTCATAACCTCGCACTTGACAGGCAGGCGCCCTGCCACTGAGCTATATCCCTGGCCCAGAAGTTGAGATCATTATAGTTAACCCACCACGTAGGAACAACTGAGGAGAGGCTGAATGTTATTATATGCAGCCCATGAATTGGTTGCCTGGTAGATTGGCTGAGCCGCATGTTGCAAAATGGGCTACAGAGTTTAGGCAAAACGGTTGCCAGCAATTTCCAAATAATCAACAGCTGGTTGATGGTCTGTAATACCACAAATCTATATTTCTCCCTTTAGAGCATGGTTGAGATGATACTTGAGTTTTGTGGCTAAGATAGGACCTGTCACCTTGCAAGTAATGACCCACAGGGTCAAAATGTTCAGTTGTCTGAGTTAACTAAACTTTATTGATAGGATTTGGGGGTAGCATCTTTGGTGTGAAGAGCTGCATAGTTGGAAATCCACGTCTTCAGATGGGGAACAAGACAGGAGGAGCAGGTTTGGAAGGTGTGGTCCAGTGTTCACTTTGGGGCACACTGAGTCTGTGAATGTGTGTTTAGAAGGCAGGGACATATAGGGACTGGCGTGTTCTTTGTGGAGCTCTGGTACCTGGTTTATCATTTGAGTGCCAGTTAGAGGTCATAAATCACTTCCAAACCCAAATAGATTGTGCAGCTTTCCAGTTATAGATAAGTTGCTATAATTAATCTTTCCTTTGTGGTCTTTCACACAGCACCACACTCTAAACACTGCAGTGTATTGGATGGTGCACGACATTAACATACTCATTTTATAGTCAGTGTTCACTTTTTGTGATGTTTTCCACAGTGTTGCTAAGACTGTGCTTGCTTTGCCCTCAAGGTCGAGTTTTACATTGGATCTTCACATTGTCCACTTGGAGTCTCTGAAGTTACCCTGTGTCAAGCTGCACCCCTCACTTTGGATGGATAATTCTATAATTTATCAGGAAGGAAACTGTTCTATATTCTTGTTATGCAACAGGGCTGACTTTCCTTTGCTACTTAAAACTCTAAACTTAGGTTCTACCACATAGGTACTGTCATGGTTATGTTTGTGAAAGCAGAACCCAAAAGATACTGTGCTCTTCTCACTGTGGCTACGGATACCTTTGCCTGTGCATTAAGTATGTATTCACTGAGGATTCAGACCACGATGTATTGATTTTTTTTTTTTTATTTCTTGCAACCAGTATTTTTTGTCACTTATAAGGGGCTAGGATTATGTGTTTTGTTCTTCACTGAACCTCCAGTGCCTAGCAGTTTGCACTTGATAAATATTTATTAGACAGACAGTAAAAGAAGGAATAACGGGACTGTCATCCTGTAGGAAACGATAACTCACTTTTCAGAAACCAAGACATCAATATAGGCAGACTGTATATTTTCCAATGAGATTATGTCCCAGAAGCCTGAGGAGAAATCAAGACTGAAAAATATTAATTTGGGAATCTCATAATAAAAAGAATTACATAAACTATGAGAGTATAAGTTCTCAAGCATATACAGGTGAGAGTAAGGAGAGAGGAAAAGTGAGCAGAGGAACGGAATTGGAAGAGGGTGAAGCCACAGGAGAGGGCAGGGGCCCTGTGGACTGGGAGCACTCAGCCTGTGGCAAGGTCAGAGCTGGAAGGCGAGCAAGGATGTGAGACCTTCGGATTTTGTCACAAGTGGTGAAAACGTAATCCAAGCCTGTGTGCATGGTGTGAAGTGAAGGTGGGAAGGTTCTGTCCTGTTATTTACACTCCTCATCACGGAGGATTCCAGTTGAGGGGGGACTTTTTTAAAGCAAAGAGGTAATTAGTTTCCATTTTCTGTTGCAAATAGCCCATCATCCAGGGGACCCTGTTTGCACTGATACTGAAAGGTTTATTTTATAATTTCTTGAAAGCTAATCAATGATTGAGACCATATTTTCCCATTACTCCTATTATAAGTTAATGATGTTATTTACATACACACATGCTCATGTATTTTGTGCATAAACATATTAAAATTATTTGGAGGAATTGCAAAGTAGTCATAGCAGTTGGAAAATTGAAAGTTAGCCTGAGTTTTAGTATGAAAAATAGTCAGTTCTTCAGTGTTATTTGGGAGCTTTTCAGTTGAAATTTTATTAACGGGGGCTGGGGATTTAGCTCAGCGGCAAAGCGCCTGCCTGGCAAGCGCAAGGTCGTGAGTTCGGT